TTACCGTTTTGTGTATGTCCTCCTATTTTTCTGTTTGACTTTTTTCTTGTGTTTTCTGTCTGTCCTCCAAGTATTGCCATGTCGAAAGCAGACTGTCCACAAGCGGAACACAGCAGCAGTAGTATGGATTCCGTACGTCTGGGCCTAAGTCCTCCTCCGTGCAAGCACAGATTGGAACCGGCAACTTCGGCCTCAAGAGCCAAGTCTCTTAACCACTACAGCCAGGACACGGTGTTCTAAAAAGTGGAATCGTACCGGTCGTGCAGGCAACAACTCTTTTTTTTCTTTTCTCCCTTTTTTTTTTTTTTTTAAGATACCAGGGCCAATACCCGGCTTCGGGTGAGTATCTTTTTTTGAAGGAAAAAGCAGAAATCACTAAAACAACCCTTCTCCCACTTCTGCTTCTCTTGAAATCCCTCCTCCCATTTCCCTACAACCCCCCTACTCTTCTTCATCTCCCGACGAGCCGACAAGCAACCTCACTGAATTATCCCGTAGCGATGAAAAGCAGACTTCAACTCTTCCTCTTCCTTCGACAAGCCGACCTCCTCCACCACATAGTTCAAAGAAGAAGAAAATAAATAATTCACACTCCATCGCAAAGTAGGCGCAGCACCCTCACCTCCCATCCCCTTACCCCCTTCCGGCAAAGACTCACAGCGGCTAAGCCACCATTCGCAACTGCAGCTGTGCCCTAAAAGGCCCATAATCCAATCCCACCAGCTAGCCCTCCTCGCCAGCAGGACGCAATATGACCAATCAAAAACTTTCGCCCTCCAATTCAGTACCACGCCTCTTCCGCAGGCAAGAAAAGAAACAACTGATGAAGGGCAACAACTCAGTGAACCACCTGGCAATGCTGCCGGAGCTACCCAACTGCATAATGCCAAAAATGACCGCAAGGAACGCCACGGGAAGCAGATGCGCAGCAGGCCAACACCGCGGCGAAGCACAAGGCAACACCAACACAGCAGCTACACTGCACTGCGCACAAGCAAGGAACACGGAAGGCACGAGACACGGATGGGCACCAAGGCAGCAGCGCAGCGAAGCACAGGGCAACACAAACACCACAACCACACCACACCTACGTGGCACCATCGGCCGCGGATCCTGCGGCCTGATCCGCAGCCGACCTCCTAGGCTGCAGGCCTGCGGCCGAGCCACGCCCAGGGGGGCGCGTGCTCAAAATCGGCGCGCGCGCTCGGCCTGCGCACGTCGGCCGCTGTCGGCCTGTAAGAAAAAACAAAAAAAAAATCAAAAATTTGGGGGGGCGGTTTTTGATGTGTGACAAAAATTTAAAAAAAATAGAAAAATAAATAAATATCGATTGATTGATTGTTTTTTGTTGACTGATTGATTGATTGATTGATTGATAGATTGATTGATTGGTTGATTGATTGATTGATTGAATGATTGATTGATTGATTGGTGGGGGAGGGGTCCTCCCTCCCCTCTCCCCGACACACACACACACAGTATACCTATCTCTAATCTTTGATATTCCCCTGCGCTCCTGTCCTGTCTCACGCACGGATCCACACGCTCAGAGAACAGCGCACTTGGATTGGAT